ATATATATATATATATATATATATATATATATATATATATATGTATAAGAGATAGTGGCGATGGAACAGGACAGGATTTATTCGTCGTTAAGATCGGTTATCGAGGTCTCGATGCGATGAAATGCTTGGCAGTCGATTCTCTCAGACACTCCCCCTTCCTACGAATATCAATTTCTTCCGTGAGGTAGGTTCAACAGGTATGCCGGGCAAAATTCAGCTTCTTTTATTTTATTTTCTTTTTTTCTTCTCTCTCTCTCTCTCTCTCTCGATCCAATTAACGTAACAATCGAAACCGGACTCTTTGAGCGTCTTTAACGAGAACACTCGAGTTAATTGCATGCACGCTCCGCTCCGGCCGACTTAATGACGCCAATTTCGAGCCTTCTGCTTCTTTTTCGCAGTGGAACGAGATTCGCGTTAAGCGAGCATTCGAGAGGAAACGTATTTTCGTTCGATCTTTCGGCCTCGACGAGTCGCAACATGCCGATATATTAATGGATTAATTCTTTCGAACGTAATCTCGGTTACGAGGAATGGCGAAACGAGAAGTGTCGAGTATTCAATCGTTAATCTCTGCTACGTCTGAAAGAACAGTCATCGTTTGAAGAAAGTTTGGATCGTCAAAGATCACGCGACTCACTTCACTGTGGTAACTGGAAATGCACGGAAAATAACCTAGTATTGGCGGTATCTCGTCGCGTGACGGCAACGTCGAGAGTAACAGCAAAGAGTCCTGTTTTTCGATTATTCGTTCAAACATTAGTTTGTGCATTTTGCTTGTATCACGCTTCGGCTCGACGTGTACGTAAACTCGCGTAATAGCGATGTTGTTTCGAGTTTACTCGACGTTTGTGCGCTCATTCGATAACGTGTTACTATCTGAAATGTTGATCGAGTACAACTATTACGATAATCTAACTTAACCTAACCTAATCTCTGGATTAGATAGATTCGGACTTTAGATGCAAATACCGGATAATTCGTCGAAAACGAAGATCGAAAGTGAACAAAGAATCTCTCTATTTTCGACAAAGCGAGCAATAACGAGTGATAAGTAAACTTGTCCGTTAAATAACAAATGAACAATCGATACGATAGGTAGTTTCGTCGTATAATTATATTGTCATGTATCATGATTTATAATTGGATTCAACTACTCAATCAAATACAAATAAATATAAAATAAAACTTTCGATATTGTATTCGGATGAATCGCCTTTAATTGCACGTTCAACGTCATCACTTTTCACGACGGCACGAAAGATGGTGCCACTCTCCAATATTCTTCGCGACACACGCCGCGTAGAATTTCTTGCAAGGGAACGATTGAAAATTGACACGATAAACCGACGTAGTTCCTTGGTAATATCGATATAGGAAGCCGTGGCTGAATGACCACGGTATAAAGGCCCCCCTTTAACGTTATTAGTAAATGTTGCTTGCCTTGTTATCGAATTATAACGTTAAGCCGGGGAACGAACGTGCTTGCCAAGTATAATGATCAACGCTAACGAACCGAAAAGAGATATACACGTGGAGATATTTCAAAGCGACACAGCCTGTACGCGCGTAATTGCAAGGGAAATACGTGATTCGAGAATTTCGCTCTAAACTTGTCGAGGGAATTCCATCGCCCGATTTTCACTGGATACGGATGTGAATCGTGAATCGCATAACTGTTCGGTTCTCGACCAATCGTTGATTCGTTCATTTTTGAAATGGCGGGACGTGTCTGGTACCCGCCAGCCCGAATTGTTTTCGACGGTATTCGGAGGGAAAGCGACAGGTATTCGCCGCGAAAACGATCGCCCTATGCTCGGAATTAAATAATTCAACGAGTAATTTTGGCCGAAGCGGGTGCCGAGCTCGAACCTCGAGGATATATTGCGTGGCCTCTGCTGCCTTTGAATAACACTTCTACCGTCGATTTCGTCCAATTATATTCGTTTCATAATCACCCTTATATTTCCAATATTTCCAATATTTCGACTGAAAATGAAATCATACTTTCATTCGCGAATATATCGTACGTGAAATTCGTTTGTATTTAATATTTTCCTTCGAATGGAGAGAAGGGGGAGAGGGAAAAGGAGGGGCCCGATCTTTTACGCGATCCCTATAATCTTTAAGTGATGCCAAAAATATCTCTTCGTTCATTCGATAATTAATATCGAAATCGTACTTTCACTCGAGAAATTTCTTTCTAACCTTTAATATTTTCTTTCCAATGGAAAAACCGATCTTTTACGTTTTTATAGTTATACACGTCGTATATGCGTGACCTCTGTACTTTTGAATGGCGCTTAGAACACTTTTACGATTCAACACCTCTCCATTAATTACATATTTTTTTTCTAATGAAATAAAAATCATACTTTCACTCTAAAATTCGTTTCCACTTAAAATTCTTTTTTTTTTTCGAATAGAAAATTAATTGTTCTCTGAGTTACAAGTTATAAGTCTTGATCGATCAACTTGTCAAAATTCCGATTTTCCTTTTTTGATCGAGTTTTTGATCACGATTTGGAAATTCATCTAAGTTAAGGAAAAAATTGCCGAAAACTGGAATATTATAAAATTCGTCAACGAATTTTCAACGAATCTCTTTCCTCCAGATTCCCTCTCGCGAAAATCTAAAATCTAAATTCCAACGTACAAACGTTCGGAACACGAATCCGCGAGGAACACGAGCATTCCTCGCGCGCGTGAGCGTCGAGCCGTTGTAAGGACACGTCTCTGAACAAGTCCTGCAAGATGGCGGGGCGACAAAAGTGGCTCGAGTTATGCGACACGATGCAGACGTGTGCATAAACGCCATCTGCCCCGATCTCGCGTTACCCGCATTCCGTCGAGTCAAGCATCGTCGTCGTTTTTAATCTAGGATAGTTGTGGTATTCGAAGTCGACGATTCTATCCTCCAATTAATCCTTCCCTTCCTTCTTTTCTTTCCTCGCTGCGAGAAATCGCTCGTCTCGTTGAACTGGTCGCCGAGAATCGTGCAAAGAAGAGAGAATATTTGTGGCTTCGAGCCGAGACTCGGACGCGGAATCACCGGCGCGAGGCGAAACTCGAAACAAAAGGTTACGTTCCAGCGATCCTCCAGCGTATAAAATGGAACGCGTGTTGAGTGTCGGACGAGCAAGGTGCTGGTCGCATCCTGTTTTCGACCGTGAACGACAATTTTCTACTCTTCGTGTCGAGTTGAATTTAATAATCCCGTGCGCTTCATCTTGGACTCGAAACGTGGTCAGGTACAATCGGTCGTTCCCTTTCCACTTGTCTCCGCGAATTTTCCCGAAAGAGCGCGCTGTAAGCGTCGTAAAACGGTTTGCAATTAAGCGTAGCATTTTGACCCATTTGTCGCGCAGGCTCAACCGAAAGTAACTCGTGATCAGTAAGATGATGGAACGTTTTGATTAGCGGAATCTTCCATATCTAAAAGTTTCCGTTAAAAGTAATGTTAAGAAAATTGCTTCGCAAGTTTCTCGAGAAAGATATCGAAGAATTATATATATATATATACATAAGGAAAGTTTGCCACGTTAAATTTGGAATGGAACTATTTATTAGCTAAAACTAATTACTGGCTAATAACATTATGATACGCTCTAATTTTAATTGGTTTGTAAGAAAAAACTGCTCCGAGATCCCCAAGTTTCTCGAGATATCAAAGAATTATATATAAACGAAAGTGCGTCAAGTTTGAAATGGAAATTATTATCTAAAGTAACGCTCGGACTAATAACGTTACGATACGCTCGATTTTTACTTGCCTCGAGTACAATCTCATATCCACGGTTACATCCACGCAGAATTAACCTTTCACGCTTTTGACTGAGCGTTCAAATCGCACATGTATAAAGTACAATTAATTTTATTTTGCAAGATGTTTAATAAATTTTAATTATTATCAAATGATCATTTTAAATTATATATAACGTCTCGATAAAATTTACAAAAATTTAATAATCCTCGATCGTGTGATATATTTCAAAGCGTATCGGACGCACATGTGATGCAACTTTACACGTTTTACGCGTTTTCGTAGAGGAAGTAAAGTATCACTATCGCTATTTAAAATATTTATAAAACCCCTTTTCTTTGGCAAAACTTTCACTCTCACCATCAACAACGTTTAATACTCTCCTCGATATTTTTCAAGAAGATATATCCGTACGTTCGAATGCCAAGAAAATTAGCAATTAGTTGCGAATTAGCAACTAGATATTGCAAGTCAAGGTGTTAATCGAATCGAACGTCGAGCTTTCGCTAATGACGTTTCCTTTCCTTTCTCCACCACACCCTCCAAATGATCCGATCTAAAAATACGTTACAGAGAGATGTCACCGTGTCGACGAGCGAGTTCATCGACAAAGAGCAGGTGACTAGCATGGTGGCGCGGGATGTGGTTGACGACATCAGGTACGACGGATTCGCCACCTCGACTCCGAGGAAGGGATCGCCGGAACGACCCGGCTACCCGCGCGGAATCCCCGGTCTGCGGGAAGAGAAACCGATCCCAGCCGCTGGAAAACCGAGCCGACCCCCGCAACAGAGGGAACCGAGCCCCGTGGAGAGGTGAGGAGGGCGGAGGAGGTTAACTGGAAAATTATTAGCTGGAATAAAGTGAGAGTGACGCTCTCTGAAAACAGTTGCAACACGAGTCGAAATATAAATGTGACATAGTTGCTTTACAGCTGTTACAATTCTTTTTGCTTTTATATATATATATATCATGAGTCTATTATTTTTCTAATAAACGTGTCTTTCTTCAAGGAATGTAATAATACTACGCCTGAACATGAATAGTATATAATAAACAAAAAATTTAATTGCAAGAAATGCAAAATGCTAACAATTAATAGTCCTGCTATTACACTTATCGGTACAAACACTATCACTCGATTCGTTATCGTTGCTTCCAAGTAAGTGTTTCGTACCGTTGCATTTCCTAAGGATTTATTCAAAAAAATAAAATCACGATTGAGAAACATTGATTGCACGAGTATCTGCTATTCACGTCTAGGCCGAAATCTTCATCGCTCGTTGATCAAAGCCGAGTTGCATACTTCCACGAATCCTCGATGGACAAAAGTAAGGAAAGATGGTAAAACTTTCAGGCCCAGGGACTCGGCTGGCAAATCGCCTCGCGACTACGTCTCGCCTACGAGGAAACCGAGGAGAGGAGATCAGACGCCCGATTCTCTCGAGGAGGAGGACGCCCAACAAAAGCTACCCGACATACTGTCCAAGATCCCCCTGAAGGAGCAATGCATCTGCGAGCTGTGCACCTGCGGGTAAGCGGAATTTCCTCTCTTTTTCTCCTCCTTTTCTCTTCTTCGCGAACAATTAATTCATCTTATCCGTTTCGGTTTCGAAGCAACGTGACCCACTTTCGTTCGAAGCGAGATCCGAATACAAAACGTTGAACACGCAAATTAACGCTTTTCGATTTCTCTTCTCTCGCCGATTGGCGCGCTCTGTCAACGATACAGGCTCTAATTTTTTCCTTCGAATTTTTTTTCGCCTGCTCCACGATTCGATTTGTTGCAGCCAAGAAAGCTAGAGTAAGAGGGGATAGTTGATTAATGGCGTTCTTCTCGTTTAACTCTTTTTTTAATTCTATCCTCGAAGGACGAGTAATCACGAAAAATCACGTTTCCGCTCGACGGCGTTGCATCGAGCTGCTGTCATCGTGCACGCGTCAGCCTTTTGTATCGTAAACAATCTTGCAAGACGTTTCAAAACTACGCGATGTATCCGTTTCGTCTTCGCTTCTATTCTATTTCACGGAATAGGAAAAACAGGATTTTTTTTTTTCTTTTAATTTTTTCATCCGACTCTACGCCTTAAATAAAAGTCCACCTTTTATATCTCTTACGTAGCGCGAAGAATCTTGCAAGACGTGAGAAACTACGCGAGATTCTTTCGTATAAGTTAAATTAAAGAAAGGATGAGATTATAAGAGATTTCGTTAATTTCGATCTTTTTTGTATCTTTTTAGGAGATCAAAGAATCTTAAAAAGAGACCCATTTGAACGTACGATTCTTTCGTATAAGCAAATCAAAGAACGGATAGGATCGCTCTAATTTTTAAGAGATTATTTTCGAAGGGGTTAAATTCGCAAATTATGCGAGATCCATTTCGATACACAATCGTTTCGTAGCAAATTAGAAAGAAAAGATAGCATCATTCTAATTTTTAATGATTATACCTTCTAAGAGATCTCGTCGATTTCGAAAGGGTTAAATTTCCTTTGCATCTCAAAATTACACGAGATCCATTTGAATATACGATTCTTTTAAGTAAATCAAAGAGAAGTTTGAGAATCGCTCTAATTTTTAAGAGATCTCGTCGATTTCGAAAGGGTTAAATTTCCTTTGCATCTCAAAATTACACGAGATCCATTTGAATATACGATTCTTTTAAGTAAATCAAAGAGAAGTTTGAGAATTCGCTCTAATTTCTTATACGATTATGAGAGATCTGGTTAATTTCGAAAGAATTAAATTCCGATCATTTTTGTACGTCTTTTAAATATCGCAAAGAGTCTCACGAAACGATCCACTCCAACGTACGATTCCTCCGTAAATAAATAAATCAAAAAAAAAAGAAAAAAAAAAGATAGAATCGCTCCAATTTCTTAACGATTACGATATCTAAGATACCTCGTTATTTTCGAAAAGCTTTCGAATCTCGGTCGCGATTGATATTCCACGGACGAAATTCTCGATCACGAACACACACACACACACACACATATATCACCTGTATCTGTCGTGCGTATCTGTTGGCTCGAAGCCCGAGGGTATTGAAACGTCGACCAAGTATGGCCTCGAGGCCCTCAACCGTGTTATGAAACAAGTTGTATTATGCAGATGAAGGGAACGCACGCGCCGCCACCAGAAAACTGGGACACCAGACAAACCCTTTTACGGGAGCTTGTTCCCAGCCAATCGCGATCCGCTTCTCCGCTTCCCTTCCTTATTCGAACGTCTTCTTTCTTCCATCTCGCCTCTCCTCAAGGTGATCGATGAAATTTAAAAAAAAAGGTGGCGTTTCACGATCCCCCCTCCTCGGCCGAAAAATCAAGGATGAAAAATCAAGGGAAAAAAAAAGAGAGAGAAATGATTTCCATAGGTGGAAAGGATGATTCAAGAGCGGACGACAACGTGGATTTCGAGCTTTTAATTCGAGCCAAGGCCGCTCGAAGAAGAGAAGGAAAAAAAACTTAATCGGGTCAAGACGATCGTCTCGATCTCCTCCTTTCGATCATCTCGTTTAATATTCGCATAAGATATCCGCGAGGGACGCGTTCGAATGTAATCCAGATTGAAACGCTTGACCCGAATCGAATCGAAGGAGATCCACTCGAAGCTTGATTCATCGCGAAGACAGTGTCTTCCGCGTCTTCTATATTTCAAGCTGGCCGTGACCGATCGAATTTTCACGGCGATCCATGAAATTTGCGGATTAATCGGCGCGAGAATGGATGATGGAGTCGAACGAGAGACGGGAGCGAATCAAAGGATCGAACGGAGGGAATGACATATTCGATCGAGTCTCGTTTCTGCATCGAAATTTGGAGCGTTCCTTTCTTTTTCTTTTTTTTCTATCAACCTTTTTCAAACGCATCGATACGTGCTCGCGAAATCTCTCTTTGACGAGTTTCCAATTTCTAAATGGCCTCGCCTCGAACTAAACTCCAACGCTCGCGAGCCTCGCTCACCTCGATGGTCGCGTCGATAAAACATCCACATCGATTTTAATTCGATATTTACGCTCTAATCTTTTTTTTTTTCTTTTCTTTTTCAACGAAACAAACAAACGAAACGAACAACTGTTTTGTTTTTTTTTTTTTTTTTTGTCGCTCACCTCGTCTTTCTTTTAGAAATTTTTCCCGTTAAATTGTCTGGAAAAGTAAAATTGTCTTAAAAACTTCGATTGATCGATCGCTGATGGAACGAGGGGATGGAATCACACGGAGGAAATTTCGAGGCGATTATTATTATACGAAGTGTGTATACATTTTTAGCGGTTGATCGTGTCGGGCAGGCAGGGGTCTGTCATCGATATTAAACGCACGGCAAAGGGTTGGAAAGAGGGTGGAACGGCGCGTTGGCATTTTGACAAGCCAGGCCTTAATTGACATGGAGATTGAGGTATCGATGTTTCCTTGTTAATTACCAATTACACCGTTCTGAAACGATAAATATCGGGAGACATTGTTCGAGCACAACGAAAGAATGGAAACGGACGATTTTGCCTCGTCTCGTTTGAAAAATGGGTTTAGATCCAAGCAGATCTCAAACTTGTATCGATCAGTTATTAAATTAATAAGTTTTTGCCAGATTTGAATTCGTAAATAATCGGTCAGTTGTCCAAAATTAAATTGGACAATTCCTCGAGATCGTGTTTATTTCCATAATCTTCGATCTCGCGATGCAAACACTTATTTTCCTTTCTTTTCCTTTTTTTTCCTTTGTTCTCTGTCTAACGAATAGAATCTAGAAAGTGAAAAGCAAATTTCAATTATTCAGACAACGAACCGTGTATGTTTCTCTTCAAGATCGTGTGTGTTTCTATGATCTCGTTGCAAACATTTTCTTTGTTTTCTTCCTTTGTTTCTTTTCCACGAATAAAATCTAGAAAGTGAAAAGTTTTCAACTTCAAACTCGAACAATTCGAACCGATTCCTCAAGAAGATCGTGTGATCTCCAATCTCGTTGCAAACATTTATTTTCCTTTCTTTTTCTTTTTTTTTTTGTCCCCCTGCAACCAGTCACGAATAAAATCTAGAAAGCGAAAAGTGTTTCAATTATATTTTATTATTAAACAACGATTTAACGAAGCTTTCCATAATCTTCGATCTCGTTGCGAACATTTATTTTCCTTTCTTTTTCCTCCTCTTCCTCCAACGAGTCGAATAAAAGTCGTAAAACACATTGTTTTACGATCACTCGAACAACGATTCCTCAAAAAGATCGTGC